AAAAAAACTGAAAAATCTGCTAAATTTTATTAAGTAAAAAATTTTAGTGTTTTTCATGACATCTTTGATAAATATTTTGTGATAGATTAGAAACAATATATGTCACCCGTTCAACCAATAGAGATAATTATGATTGGCATAAAAAAGAACGTCACTTAGTACTAAATTTAAAATTTTTGTTAGCTGTTTGAAAAGTTTCAAATTTTTTTACTGCTTTCAAAAGTTCAATTTATTGTCGGAAAACAGCCAAATTAATTTGTCATCCGTTAGACTGCTGAACATAATGTGAAAAAAAAAAAGTGAGAAGTTTATTTTGCAAGATCAATGAAATAAAAATTTAAATTTCAAGTGTCTAGGTTGAATTTTTATCAACCCAGATTATATCACTTTGATATGACTCAGAAATTTTTACTGCTATTCTGACAATCCGCTGATGTGAAGCTGCAGCTTTAGTAACATTATGCTGTTTCATTACAACAACTTCGGTCACAGAAGTTCTACTGAAAACTCTGTCATACAAACGGTTTAAGTAATCGGCTTATTTGAGTTGTCAAAATCTGCTTTTGATAATCTTTTTTATTTGGACATTCTTATTTCTAAATTTTCGTATCGTCCAACAAAAAAAAAAAGAGAAATACCTTCAAATGCTTTCCAACAAATGGTTGGCGTTCGACAAAAAAACTTATTGATTGGCCTATAACTTCTTTCTTAGTTTGCAGATATAAATTTTATTTAAAAAGTTGCTAAAGAATCCGCCAGTGCTGTAAAACCGTATAAAGCATAAAAATTCAAAAATTTAGTGTCTAAAATTGAAAAAAAACAACCCTTGAAATTTGCTGACATTCTTGTCGACAGTTATCAAATTACCAGTTTGAAATGCAGCATAAATTGTAAAAATGATTTATATTTCTTTCAATTTTCTTGCAAAACAGCCCCAATGAGAGCCGTTTTTGGTTGATTTCTTTCCAAAAACACCTACGAAATATAAACGATTGATTTGGCTTACGCACAATTATGTCTTATTTGAAAACACTTTAATGTATCCTTTGATCAAAGTATTTATCAAATCAGAAATAGGTATTAAAGTACTCAAATAATACTGCTAAAAACTAATGCTGTTTTCCAATGACTGTTAAACTGTGTTTTGACGGTAAAACCAGAGCAAACCAATTGTGAGAAAAAACTTTTCACGTATTCCGTTATAACGCTTTATAAACCCAAAATTTTATCTTCCACTAAAATTTTATTAAATTTAATAGTTTCACGCTTATTCTTTAACTATTTCTTTTATTTTCTCTGACCTCACAATACACTATATTTTTTTAAAATTTCGTTTTTCCTTTGAAAACAAAAAAAAAAGTATATAAGCCTATCTATTCACTAGACAAATTATTTTTAACACAAAATTTCGAAAGTATATAACATAAATAATCCTTCTAATTAAAGTACTATCAGAAAAAAGTGAAAAATTTTTATCAACAGTTTAGACAAATGATAATGTTATCTTTTTATTTCGTGCAGTTTTATGCTCCCCTCAGCTGTTCCGTGCCGCATCCACTAATGTTGTTTTTTATTTTTCCGATATTTTCAAAGCATCTATTGATTATGCAGTAAAAACTTAATGTTAACTCTCGTGTTAACACTTTTTTTAAAAATATTTCTACTCATTTTTAACAGTTTACTTATTTAAAGAAGAAAACTGTCCCTTTATCAAAGCCCATTGTCTGCCTACTTTCTCCAGTACAGAAATTAGCATATCAGTGTTTCAGCAGTTCTCAAGAAACACTTGTTTTGCAGTTCATATTGCAAACATGTCGTTAGTAAGCGTCAAAAACTGGAATGCTTTTTTTAAGCCGTCCCATATAATGCAACACAAAGCAGCAGTTTTTTACAACAAACAGTAATTTCAAAAATAGCTTTCTTCTTTTCTTTTCTTAGAATAATCTAATCAATTTTCACACAAAAATTAAATTTTAAAAATCTGACCTTTTTGTTAGCACTAAACTTGCACTTACTTATTCCTTGCTCAATAAATTAACTTCATTAAACGTTATCACTCCAAAAACTCTCATTCTAAATTAGACAAATTGATATCACATTTATGTATCGCCGTCGATTAAATCAGTCAAAAGTTGCGAAAAAAAAGCCAAAGTGAATTGTAGATTTCAACTAGAAAAGCTTCAGCACTATTCAATTGTTGTTAAGCACACCTGAATTTTTGTCAGCATAACAAACAGCAGATATTTATCCCTGTCGCTGTAAAAATAAAACCACAATACTGTTCCAAGCATACAATTTAAAAATAGCAGTCTGTACCACATAACCTTCAATCATTCTAACCTCTAAATGTGATTCTGGAAGAATTGTAGTATCCTGTAGCACCTTCATGCTAACATACACCAGCTTCCCTTTCATGAAACAAGAACTTTAGCACGGAGAACCTCAAAGTTAAGAAGACCTTATTCAGATTCTTCATTGCAGAAGGCTATGATGTAGAGGTAGCATCGTTTTTAAACTAGTTCAATACCTTTCCCATGCAGTTTCTTCCGAACATCTCGCGATGACGTAAAGCGCCCTCTTCCAATAAAACACCAAAACATTTTTAGCAATAATGATGAGAACAGGGATTCACTAACTTATTCAGGCAGTTGCCTATCCTAAAACGTTCATCGAAGAGTGCTCCAAAGAACCAACCAATCACTTCAAACTGTTTTAATGGTGGAACAAAAAAACATAACATTATATCACCTTCCCGAACGCAACATTAACAAATACCTCCTCACAATGTTACACAAATAGACATTTTACTAGCAACTTTTTACCCAAGATAATCACTTAACAACTACTATTCAAGCCTTTTTTTGCTCTCCTCAACCAGAGCGAAAAAAATAACATCCGACGATTAAGACTACACGTCACGCGTGCTAAATGTTCAGTCTTAATAAGCCAAAATAATCAAACTCATCAAAATAGCCACTTTTTGTTAGACTACGAAAAAACCGTTGGTGCTTTTTCCAAACGAAAGTGAGCAAAACATTATTAATAAACCGTAAAAAAATACTTTGTTGCTGCATCCTCAACCACATCACAAAAGAGAAAGAAAAAATACAGAAAGAAGTACATAACTAACTACGAGATCGAGCAAACGGATCAGTAGGCGAATAGACATTGCTCTAAACCCATAAAATTCTTGAGAAATAAGGATTAAAAAAGGTAGCATTACAAATCCTGAAATTGGAAAAAAATGAAGCAAAAAAGAGAGCAAGTAAAAAACAAAAGCTGTAGGCGTTGCTATGTCGCAACCAAAAAAACCAAAATTTAAAACGGTATCAAGAGTTCTGCATTTGGGACAACGCTGGTACAGACTAATAATTAGAAAACTTTGGCAAAGCGGAATCAGAGATGAATAAAACTAAATTTCAAAACAAATTATCAAAAGATGACAACTGACAAGTTTCAGCATGTAAATTAGTATCAGCAATAAATCAAATATTTCAATGAGTACAGCGCGACAAAACTGACAATTATGATAATGCAGCTTAAGTTTGTACCTGACTCTCACATTAGATCACACCAAAAATTATAAT